ACATATTTTCCCACAAAATAAATTAACTCTGTCATTGTCACAGCTGCCAGCCTGAAGAGGGAAAAAGCAGCCAGGATCACCCAGCTCTGCTGACTGACCGGACACCGCCCCTCCTCCTCCTCCCTTCCAGGCTGCTGAGGAGCACAGCTGAGCTGAATCCATCTGGTGACCAACACCTGGGATAAAAGAGCTGTGCCTTCAGCAGTCTGGAAGGCAGCAGCGTAGGGGTTCCGTTGTCCTCCTGGTTTTTGGTTTGGTTTCAACCCCTACTGGTTTGGATTTGTTTGAGTTTTAAACTTTGGTAGTTTTTAACTTAGTGAGAAGTTTTGGGATGATCCAGTGGGATCTTGTGTTCGTGTGCTTTAAAGGTTAACTTCGTTTGTAGAAATATGATTGTCTTCGTTTTTAAACACCTTCGTTTGGTAAAACTTATAAGTTTTAACCAGGTGTTTTAACAGTTGATCATTCGTCTTTTAACGTTAACCTTTTTGAGTTTGAGTGTGTTGCATTATCTTTATCTTATCTTTTATAATGCTCGTCGTCTGTTTTGCTCATTTTTAAAACCTTTTTATAACAATAAAACCCTTTTAATATCCACTGTCCAGTTTTTATGTTATCCCCATCCTTCACGTTTTACCATCTCATGTCGGGGACCTAACGGTCATTCTGAAGGAAAACTTTACACTGAAATGGCGTCAGACAGCCAGTGGCTGGGTGAGTTTCTCTGCTGCGAAAAGGCCAAATGTCCTTAAGCACTGAGCTGTATCATCTTGGTTAAGTTTCAAGGCAGAAGTGTTTGGGGCCCAAGGCATTTGCCTACCTTTGCCTAATGGTAAGTTCACCTCTGCATCCAGTGCAGCTTGTCTGCTGTAACCCTGCTTCTCAGATGCACGTGCAGCTTGAAGCAGATGCTATTGCCAGGAAAAAAAGAGTCACGGGTCGAATAGTCTTTGGTGTCAGCGACTAGCTAGAGCAGACGTCCAAATGTGATCGCTTCATGATGCTTTGTCCTTCACATGGAGAGATAAACGCTGTCTTTGGCTGCAAATAATGCAAACTGGTGAAGGACAGTAGAGAGAGATGTCTGCTTTGGCAGCTCATCGTGCTTTCCTCGGGGTGGCTCTGCCTCGTTGCCACCACATACTGGCGACTCAGTCCTAAACCTCTCCTCACGCTAACAGGATTAGCCCCTCAGCTCTGCTTGTTTCAACAAAGTTATCAAGTTTAAACACCCTCCTGGTGGCGTTTGTAACATCAAAAGGACCGGTCCTCCGCTTCGACAGGTTAATTAATAGTAATGTTTTGTCCCGACCTCACTAGAGGCTAGTCAGTCACATGAAAGTTAAGCACGATCGCCGTTGAGGTGTTTGCATTTGGCCACATGCTCATTCATGCAGAGCACGTTTAAGTGAAGATCAGCTCATGGCTCAGGATTTAATAATCCTAAAGTGTCAAATTAGGCTCATAAAGTCTGCATCAAGTGAGTGTTACAGTAAGATTTAATGTATGTATAAAGTGGTGATGATATGTAAGGTTATGAAGTTCATTATTTTCAGCTCCACACAGCTGCCCCTGTGCACAGTAACACCCGTGTTGAAAACGCCAAGGTCGGGTGTTCCTCAGACTGTTTACATTCCAGGAGAAGAGTCCGAAGGAGAAGAAGAACGCTTTTACTTAATCGAAGTACTTTATTTGTGATTAAAAAAATTAAGCAAAACAGATGTTGATCAATAATAATCAAGTGAATGATCTGTGAAATAAATATGTCATGATTTATGTTTAATGAAAACAGGACTATTGCACAGACAGACTGATCCTCATCTCCATAGAAACGCATGACACATTGTTCCAACCAATCAGAGCTTTCGGCTGCCGCAAGAGAATCTGGTGTTGACTTAAAGTGTCCAATCCCGTTTACTGAAACTTAAAACAATTCAGAGATATAAAACAAGGCAACGCCATTTTAAGCTCAGTTCCATTTTGACTTCAGTTCTATTCACCGTCATCCTAAAGAAAAGCACAGCCTGGCCAGATGTGTTTTCTTCTTTAAACTAAGAACTGTGAAGTTGGAGATTTTCGTCGTTCAACCACCAGACGACATCCTTTCAAAATAAGAGCACCTGCTGACGCTGCCGATTGGTACCGGGGTCGACCCTTCAGACGGGCTTTGACGTGCTGCGACCGCTGCTCCGACAGCTCCAGTACACATCCGAGGTTCTTGGACCTGGCATTTCCTGATCTACCTGGGAGGCCCCCCCACTGGGTACGTACACGGCAAAATAGCGGCTCATGTCATCACTTTATAAGCCTCGTGATATCTAGTCATAACAAAGACTACCAGATCCAATGACGTCAGCCTAAGGAGTCTGAACCAACCACACACACACGCACCAACACAACATCCAAATCCATTTTCATCCATCACAGAGTTAGTCCTGGTAGATTGTTTAGAATTTATAATTAAGAAATTAAAGATTCTCAAACGATCCCAACTCTCTCTCTTTTCTTGTCTCAAGGTCAATACAGAGTGTTTAATTAAACTCCCTGATGATAAAAACAGCCTATCTTCTGATTATAATAAAGTGATCTACTTACAGTGTATTAAAATACAACTCTAGATAGTTACATCACTTCAATTTCGTTACAATAAGAATAAAAAAATCTTGAATTAGTCCCAAAAGCAACGCATTATTAGTTTACTTAATCTGTAGTCATTAAAGCATCGAGTTGAGATTTTGTGATAATGAAAAATGTGAAGATTTTGATAAGTAAGGCAGATATCTGAATCCTAATTCCTCTGAGTTAAAAAGAACGTTTCAGATACCCAGCTCAGTGGACTAGTGGTAGTGTCCGCCCTGGGAGATCAGGGTTCAAATCCCGGTCAGGTCATACTAAAGACTGCTTGACATTCAGCTTTAAGGGGTTGGACTGGGGGGATTAAACCACCAAATAGTTCCCGAGCGCAGCCGTGACTGCAGCTCAGTGCTCCCAGTGGGGATTGGTCAAATGCAGAGGATAATTTTCACACCAGTGTGTGACAACTATGGGAGTTTAATCTTTAATTAGAAATGCTTTCTTCTTAACCACAATCAACATTTCAGAGACCTCAAATGCCATTTTTCATAAAACGCTCCTTTTCCCAGTTCTATGTATTGGGCTTCCAGATGTCAAAAAAATATGCTTCCTTTACATTAGTGAGTAACTGGAATAAATGCTTTATACAGCTATCATATTATTATTGTCACCATTTTCAGGACACTGTCATATTTTTGATTGCTATCCATTATTTTAATATTGTAATTCCGCATTTGCTGGCATCATTCCGATTACTGATGTCTGAATTTTGCTTCTTAATTATACATAACACAAATATTTATCCTAATGTATGAAAATTAGGATGTTAAGATTATATATATATATATATATATATATATATATATATATATATATATATATATATATATAAGATTGTTTTAAGCTATTGGGGACATTAGAGGGGGAAAAACAATGTTTTGTGAAATCCTGCAGAAGTGATGTGAAATATTGCAAGACTGCAGTCACCCCTCAGAGATCCAGCTCCTTCATCACCACCTCAAATCCTCTTAAGTCACATTCCCTGCGTTTAGTGTAAGCTTTGCAGCAGAACCCCTAAATCTGCCCAGTGCTGAAATTACATCAATATTGCAAGAAAAAATACATAAATCTATGAATCTCTGAGTTGTCCATCACTGTGGTTGTTCCCGGGTCTCAGGACTTATCCAGATGTGCATAAAGCTTTTGAGTTCAAGAGTAGAAACCCATGATCTTTAAGGAACATCAGAAAACTTAACGCTAGTCTCCCAAAATGCTTGTGGAATTCCACTAAAAATCTTACTTTTCCATGATGTGATGTTTCCCAACACCGTGATTGTTCCCAAGGCCTCTGGACGGACCCATAAGTGTGTATTTTAATTACAAACCTTTGTTTCTGCCTTCAGTGTCACCTGCAGATCTCAGCTGAAACTCAATATATGAAAGTAAACTTGATGTCTAAATGCTCGTTTTCATCAGGAAGAACTGAATTTTGAATGCCAATGAAGACCATTTTTAATTATTTTAAAATAAATTGGCTTGCCATACATTTCTTGCAAGGGAGGTTTTTGCAGAAGAATAGACTTTTCTGCACATCAAAAGTTAACAGCAGCAGGCTACAAAGGCATTAGCAATGCTAACACAAGTGCTCTTGCAAGCAGCGCCCTCTTTTGTTCTGTGTTGAGCATCATGGCTGGAAATGCCACCATGAAGGCGGCAGAGCAGTAAAACTGCCCAATGTACCAACAATACGCAGTATTTTGGTTTTTCTCCGTTGAAACTGTGCTGAATAATAAGGATTGAATAGTGAAATGTCAAAAATAAAACCTTTCCATTTAAAGGTGCAATATGTAATAATAGCATCCTGTGGTCAAATGTGGGTACTGCCGTCCATTTTTCTAAACGAAAAGGGTCTTGTTTCACGGCTTTTGCCATTTACAGATCAGCACCAGAAGCTTCTAGATGACAAGCAAAGACGAATAGTATAAGGAAATAAAAACATTTCACTGAAAACCTAGTTTAAGAGTTTTGTAGAGTCAGCTGTTTGCTGTTAGCATTGTTAGCTCAACGTTAGTCTCTAGCCTTTTTTACCCAAGGGTTACATAAAACAACTTCTGGGTAGCTCCATTTTACTGGCTTCAGTTCTTTAAACAACTCTGGAGTTTTGTGCCTATTGGTGCTGAATTACAAATGCTTGTGCTGCGCTGCAGCGTTAGCTTGATGCAGACTCGGCAAGCGCAAGCTGACAGATTGTAAATAGTGACCCGTTTTGGCTAAACGGACAACCCCCAGCCTGTTTCAATGTAACCTTCTCTCCAACATGACAAACATTAGAGTGTTTAGTGATTATTTAAAAAAAAATCAATATCTAACAGTTTTGTAATGAAATGAAATGTTACACAGAATATATAATTCAGAACGCAAAAACATAAACACAAAATATTCCCTTTATTTTTTCTACCTTAAGACTACACAGGGTCACCAATGTAGCTCTAAGAGGTATCTACATTTGCATTTTATTTACAGCTTACTTTGATGTTTTCATATTTACAGTCAAAGAGAAGCGCTAAAAACACAGTGTTGAGAACAAACCCAAACTCAAAATGAGTCCAAAACCTTAGAAAAAGATCAGTCTTATGACGCAACGGTTATCAGTGCAATATTCCACAATGCAAATATCCTTCATCCACAATATGCTGGACGTACGTATTGTTTCTGAAAACAAAACACCACTGAATCGACCAGAAGGGGAAAAAGATCCGTTTACTTTGTCGTTTGTACAGATTGAGACACTCAGCCTTGCTCTCACCTCCCCGACACACACAGACAAGTTCTTGTGTTTGATGGTGAAAATGACAAAGTCAGGGTGTGCAATGGCTTGGCATAGTTCACAAAAAAAGGTACCAGAAGTCAAATCGATGTCACAAATTTTCAAAATAGTCTTTTGAGTTTTCATGATATATATTTTTTTCAGTGAGCTGAAGTAAATTGTCCTTTTGCAGAATCCACGAGGAAGGGGGAGGGGTCACAGACGCACGAGTGCCAGAAAGTGTCCATGAAGGTTATTTCCGAAGTTGGTGTGTATAGACAACCTTTAGTCTGTAAAATTGGAGCTGGTACACCTGCGGGTCAAATGCATTTCCGCCAACCGAGTGGAGCCCTATTCTGGTGAAAGAAAGCACTTTCGATGCTGACCAGAGGGCAGCCCTTAAGGAAAAGGCAATTTGTATCTTTCATCACATCCACAACACAACGCAAAGCCCATTTATCTCTGCAGCCAATATGCATATGAAGCATGAATTTGTGTGTTCCTTTAACTTTCTTTCTAGTTAAATGAAAATGATTTACCGTACGAAGCCTAATTTGATCGGACACTGTGTTGTGGAATACTGACTTACTGATAAACAATAAGTAAGGAACCAAAAACAGGAAAATGCAGCAAGTCTAATGAAATGCACAGAAATCAATGGAAGTAAAACCACCTTCTCAGTTTATTCCATGTCTTCAAACACCCTTAAAGAAATGTTCAAGTACAACAATTTACAATAAACGGGACACTAATTCACATTTCTCTTAATTCACATTTGTTATACTGTTAATTCATATAGTTATTTATAAAACCAAACCAAAACGTGATTCTAAACCTTTCCCAGAAAATACATTTTGTTGTTTAATACAGACAATATTTCCACAGTATTTTCTTACAGGATCTGATGTACTTTTAAAACCGAGTCGTTTGACCACAGCCGGATAAAAAAAAAAAAAAGAATGCTCCATCCCATGTTATTTGTTTTCTTCATTAGAAATAAAGAAATGTGGTTTAAATGGAATAAAAGAAGCAGATAAAACCTGAGCAGAGCTCACATGCCATTGTTGGCTTCACTATACAATTTAGACTTAATTATGCAATTTTCGCTAATTTAGTTGTCGATGAAAAAGGCCGACACGCACAGTCAGGGTGCGCCAAAGCCTTCCGAGTCAAACCACATGTGAGTATAAAGCCTCCGCTTATAAAATTACGAGACATCACACAAACGAAGGCGCTTTGACAAGTTCAGCTGTGGTTCTGATGAAGGACTTTACTGCCGACAGAAATCGCTCTCATTATTTATGGATGACGGGGGCTATGAGGGCTTCAAGTATAAAAAGAAATGATTAAAAGAGATGGAATCTCCTTGGCTGAGGCGCAGAAAAAGGCAGAATGAAGCAAGCTCGTGAATAACAATCTGCAAGTCTGGCAGCGGAGCGAGCCAGGGAACATAATGCATTACCAAAACTCCTCTTGGATTCCTTTGAACAGAATCACCAACAGGGATGAGGAAATGGAGTCACAAGACATCACAAATATTCATCCTCTAGCAGCCGCACTTGGAGGGCAAAGACTGGTAAAGAATCTTCAGAAGGAGAAGGGCACTCTTTCAGTAATACAGTGCAACTGTCTGCAACCATTTTTGTTTTCTTTTTACAGTTTAGTAAAAAAAAGTTGAGCACAGTCAAAGAAAAAAAAGTGGTCATGTATACAACTGTCTTTGGCAAGAAGTCCCATGTCCTACATCTGAGTCAGTCACTGGAAAGCCCCGTGTTCATGTCACCTTCGGCCCATTTCGCTCTGTCTCATGAAATGAATGTTGTTGACACTGTCTGCCAGCTCGGGGTACTGGTCAACCGAAACTACGTAGTATCCATCGTAGCCTTGCACCTTCCCTGAGCCCAAGAGCTGCTGCTTCTCTCCCTCAGTCCAGGTCCGTGAACCCTCCTCTCCATCCCTCAGTCTCTGGCGCTCCCGGGCCCAAGCCTGACCGACAGCTCTCTGCCGAGCCAGCTCCAGCACTCGGACCTTCTCCTCGTCCACGCTGCTTCCGTAACGCGTGTTCAGAAACAGCGCTCCGTACTGCAGCTGGATGTCGGTGATGCGCCTAGTCCTGCCGTTTAGCACAGTGTTGACCTGAGAAACGGTGACGTTGACGCCGTTTTCCAGCGTGCGCCGGCCCACCGTCATGCCGATGAGGGCCAGGTCTCCCTCCACTGAGCCCAGCTTCACAAAGTAGTGGGAATCCATTCCTGCGATGGTGAAGTGAAGGTTTTCAAGGTAGAACGCGTCGTTCAGAACGGCGGCCATGCGACGCCCGTCCTCGTTGGCCAAGCTGATGATGTCCGTGCTGATGCGACCCTCTCGGATGGCGAATTTCACTCCCTTCCCAAAGATGGAGCCACCTGAGGCAAATATCTTCTTGTCTTCAGTCTGAGGACAACCAGCACTTTTGGCTCTGTAGATCTGACCGAAACGCTCCAGCTTCACGAAGGCCTTCAGCTGCCTCTGAACCTCGCACTGAACACCCAGCAAAGACTGAAAAACAAAGAAATGCAACCAATTAAAATGATGCAGCAGTGAGTGCACAAATGCATCATTGGTGAAATTCACCAAACATTTAGAGCTGTGTCCTTATTCTACTCTACAGTACTGTCAGCTTTCAGGTGCTTCCTTCTGAAAAGTGACACCCAAGCTACGGTACTGACACTTCAAAGATTTCACACTCATACAGGCACGGAGTCTCTTTTTGGAATGATAAGTGAAAATGAAAATGGCTGGTTTGACATGAGAAAACTACAAATAAATAAATAAATAAATAAATAAATAAATAAAATGCAAAACAGTCTATTGATTTTAACGCACTGTTACATTTAACCCTTTGTAGGACCAACGCCTATTTAGACACTTCCACTCACATCATAAACAATGTCGGTGTGTCTTTTCATGAACTCTTAGAATTACAGGATTTCACCCAACCAACCATCAGAGATCAAGCTAGTCACAGTTCAGGCCAAGACGCCATTCCACCAATCAGGGAGGGGCTATGATGCGTTAAATACTGGTGTGTCTGCAGGACCAAAAACTGCTCGGTGTCCTCTCGTGTTTACGGTCAGATCTCTAAAACTAACAATGCGAGCTTTATGAAACTCACAAGGTTGACTAGTTGTGCTAAATAAGGATGAATATGTTGTAAATGTTAACCTCTATGAAGTTGGTGGAATCATAGCACGGAAATCAAAGCTGCCATTTTTGATCAGACGCCTTGAATAAGTCAAATAAATTCTGTATTTTTTTAAGTAAAATCTGTTGTTTCGACATAATCTTCATAATCATGTTAACAGTGATAATAACAATCAATTGAATATATTTGCAGTTTTAAACTAAGACTTCTCTGGAAAATGGAGGACTGTTATTGTGCCAGCCAATCTCACCATCAGTGATGATGAAGAAGAGGAGGAAGATGGCATTGAGGGAGATCCTCATATATAATATTCAAAAAATATTCTAATCATCTATATTCAACTAGAAATGTTATCTATTGCTCAATAACCTTACAAATATATTCTACAGTAATCTGTTTGATAAAAATATTATATGTTTTATTATTATTGTGATATAATCTGTATTATTCTACTAAAATTAGCTAGATTATTCTAAAGTGTCTTTTAATTATCTATAGTCAAAATTAATGTTTATTGAAATTGTTTTTGTATTTTTTTTATTTTGGGATTTCTTTTACCAGAACATGGCCAGTGTCCATATTTGATCACTTTCCGCATAAAAATAAATATATTTGAAAATTGTAACAGAAGAAGAAAACTTTGGATATAAACCACAATAACACATTGTGATTAAACCACTTCAACGAGCGCCCTATAAAAGGTTAAATAATAATGAAACTGTGTTTTGTTTAAATGGAATGAAAATCCGAGACGTACTGAAGCTGTGAACGTACCGGACACGCTGTGAGTAGACGTGTTTTCACCAGAAGTAAAGCTCTCTGATTATTTACGACAGGCAAAATGATTTGAAAAAGGGTGAAATTTCAGGCTTCTGACAGCCCTGCCGGGCCAAATGTGAAACAGAGGTTTGTTGGTAACTAGTGTATACAGCATAACTCACTCTGCACGGGATCAAAAGAGAGACCACATTACCCGTCAGCCAGACTTAACTCTCTCTAATACTACTTGACATGAAATGTTCTTGAAAAAGGGAGGAAGATGTTAAAATGAAGTGGATGATATGAAATGGAAGCTGGCCAGCAAACAATGAGGCGAGCAACAACCAAAGGGCTCTGAAAAGCCGCGCCTTCAAGTCATCACTGGAGATAGGAGGCTCTGAGCGGTGTGAGGAGTTTTCATCAAGCTACTACGTTCAAAGCCTTCGTGACAGTTTTCTAATTCTGACTCAGTTAGATGGTGGCTACGGGCCGGGGGATCGGGGGAGGGAGCATGCACACAGCAGCACGGCTGGCTGTTGTCTGGCGTGACACCCCATCAGATCCAGGATGAAAACGAGACGGCGGAGGGCGGGTAGATGTGCTGCGGGGATCCTCGGGAGCCACGGCCCAGGGGGATACTTCACACAGTGCCACTCCATGTTTGTTTACTGTGCCAGCGTGTGACCCGGTTAGCTGTTCCACGGGCTGTGGGGGAACAGAGTGCAACGTTCTCTACCCCCGCCCCTCTGAAACCGCCTCCCGGGAAACTCAAAGAGTGGCATTATTCACGCAGCAGGGGGTGCAATCAGCCTCCAGCACAACCCTGAATGAGAAATCAAGCCCTGCACATCGCAGGCCTCATCTGTCTGGCCCCTCACGGCATTTTTCAATCTGTGTGAGGACTGAGTAGTGTGTCAAAACAAGGGACTTAAATAGATAGGAGATGGAAAAGAAGGTATTCTTATGTGTTCTGAAGAAAATAAAATGAAATGCCAAGGTATAGATGGAAAACATGTAGTTTAGAAGTTGTATTGATTGTTAGAGGCAGCCTATACTTAACTGGGCTGATCTGGCTGTTTGCAGTGAGGATCAACGTGGTCTTAACCATCTCAGAGCACCAATTCAAAAGGAGGGACTCTGGATCTGAACATCATACCCCAGCTAGCTTGTGAACAAAACCAGGATTATTTATCTCAATCTTGTCATTTGCAGAACTGGCTGTAGAGGTGTGATGCAGGAGAAAGCTTCGTCAAAAGCACAAAACAAGCTTTAAATCAAGGCTGAGCTTGATATTCAAAACATCTTCAAATCCACGATGGGCTTTTCTGACTACAGAAATAAATAAAGCAATTGGTTTGCAGATAAACCTAAAAAAATACTAGCTTCAAACAGAAACCTGGAATTTTCCCCTTTTCAGGAATTATGTATGTCTTACTGTGATAAATCGCAAGCTTACTCTCGAACTTCCCAGGTCTAGATACGAGCAGGCACTAACCCATGCCACTCTAATTAAGTTATCTCAGCATTAGCCAATAGTGTTTAACATCTGCTTCCGTACAGATGTCCATCACAGAGCGTTTGTGAATGAACCAAGATTGAGCAGCATTTTGAAGCTGTTCACAAAGCTGCAAGGACACAACGAATCATGGAGCGGCTACCACTGCCTTCATAGCCACAAAAAATACCGACCTCACAAGGGTCTGCTTCTACTAGGTGCACGTTCATGAATGAGAGGCGCTGCTTCCAGCTGTATCACAGACGCTGGAGACTCGCTTAATGGTGCAATACATGTTTTCGCCTCTAGGAGGTGCCGTTTGATGAAAACCTTTTAGTTTTATGAAGCATACTTCCAATAAATAAACTGATGGATAAACATGAAATCCAAATGAATTTCCTCCCAAACTGGAATGTGACCCAACAAATGGAAAATCATCTGACTGTTGGGTGAATCTTAAGTCTTTAGAATTTAGTTATTTCAGAAGAACCCTATTCCATCCAAACAACTATGAAACAAACTGAACTAAGAATAGCTGTAATGCATTTCTAGAGTTCAATAAAACATTTGCAGTGTTGCATCTCTTTTGTAGGCTTGAAGCCTTTATGGAGTTCAGAGATTTCTGTGGCTTGCCGGCACGTATGAGTCAGTCTCTGGGGCTTTGACAGTAATCCTTCCACAGCAGACTGCTAGATGAGAACATAACTGGGATTTCTACCTTGCATGACGTGCAAAAACGCCTGTGCAGAACCAAAACGCATTAAATTTCCTAATTAGCAACAGCACTTCGATGTGCCAAGTCACGCACACCTTTCTTTAAATAATGCACTTTAAAGAGCAGAGGTGCACCACTGGCTTTCTATTTTAACATTTGAATACAAAAAAAATTAAATAAATAATCACTTTGTTATAAGTTACTGGTAGCAATTCACTAATTCTGGATTCAGTTTAAAAAAAAGTATCAACAAATTCAACAAAAGTATCATTAAAATAATACAATAAAAGCCTGGAATGTAAATTACATGCTGATTTTTAAATCAGTTTGGAAGCTCAAACAATATTGCGAGTTATTTTGCAATTTTGTTTGAGCCGATGGGTATCGGGTACTCACACATGAATTAGCAGATATATATTTGTAAAACTGATTGAATTAAAAAGCTTTATTCAATTTTTTTATGCCAACTTCAAAAGCAAATAATTAGATGTTTGTTAAGTCACGTTTATTTAAAATTCTCCCATTTACCTTTTCTGATTCTTTCTGATTTCTGGTTCATGTGATATTGTGCCAAGAGTCGACTGCGGCAGTTATTGCTAATGTCTTGAGTAAAGATATGGAATATAAAATAACAAGGACCTGTAGCTACAATACCACCAAACTTCAGCTTGAAGCCATTTTTGAATTGGGTTGACTCAAAAAGATAAAAGAATAAATAAAAAACCCAACCGTATGTAAAATAATTCTTTTCTGAGAGTCTCAATAAAATCCATTCCGCTTTTCATGATATTTTCGGCTAAATCCTGGTTCTCATTGCATTTTTCAGCCATCGTAGACAAAGCTTTTGTTGTTAAGAGTCATGATGAAAAATGGTGAACGTGAAGTCTGTGGCGGTCCAGTGCGACCGGCCCAGCGACAGCTTTCTAACCAAATCCAGCAGTGTGATAACACCTACAACTCTGGTATCAACCAAAGAAAATACACCCCGTGACCAGGGGCGTAGCACCAAATTCTGGGCCCTAGGTACAAGTCTTCTAGGTGGGCCCCATGCTCAATTGTGTAATATCTCTCTTACACATTTTATGCCATGCTATAAGACAAGATAATAAATATGATCTCAGTTTAACCTCTATATTGAGCAAATACAAATGCCAGCATAATAAAAGTGAAATGCCCAGACTTCACATATAATTATTTTTATTTGCCAACAATGTGTTCAAACATTAATCCTGGAATTTATTTTCCAGTAAATGCCCACTGACGGGTCTTCATGTTAGCAAAATCCCTTATGAGATCTTTAAAGTCCAATCCTTTGGCTAATTGGCTTTCAATAGAAAGAAGAGCTAGGCTGTTCAGTCTATCCTGGGACATTGTTGATCTCAAAT